TTTTTTTTTTCCCCTTCCATTGGTGATATTTTTTTTCCCAAATATATAGAAAATATTTCAGGTATTTTATAGAGAAAAGAATATTCACAAACGTTTCTCTTTGATATGGAAAATATTTCGTATGTTTTCTACATCAATTTCGGTTTAAAATGTATTAAAATTGAAAATTGAAAAGAGAAAATTCTATTAAAAATGTGTTTAAAAAGAAAAATCGATGAAAAAAATCTGTTTATCTAGAGTAAAAAACACCTTTATGTAGAAAAATCAATGTTAAAAATATGTTTTTATAGAAAAATCTGTTAAAAATCTGTTTATATAGAAAATCTATTTAAAATATTTCTATAGAAAATCTCTTTAAAAATAAATTTCTATAGAAAAATCTATTAAAATATATATATTTCTATAGAAAATCTGTTAAAATTCTATTAATAAAGGAAATATTTGTTGGTATTTTCTATAGAAAATGTATTTTTCAAGAGAAAAATGTTTTGTTTCTTTTCTATATAAACTAGATTTGAAATATATAGGGGAAAAAATCAGAATTTCTGTGTAAAACAGACATGAAAAATAAATTTCTAGATAAAATAGTCGATTTTTCTATATAAAATATATTTGCAAAGAAACAATTGATATATGAAGTGTGTATTTTATATAGAAACTGTTAAAAAGATGTAGTTTCTATATAAAAAATGATTTATGTATCAAACCTATTTTTAATATATATATTTATATATAAAATATTTCATATCGTTTCTATATATAAAATAGATTTTAAACAAAATCTTTCTCTCCATATAAAATATTTTATATAGATTCTGTATTAAAATATCTTTAAAAATACCTATTTCTATCCCTTGAATATGGTTTATATATATAAATTATTTTATATAGTTTATATATATAAATTGTTATGTAGTTTATATATAAAAATAGATTTTAAATCATAGAGTTCTCTATATAAAATATTTTATATGTTACATATATTAAACTATTTTTAAAAATAGACACTTTTAGATATGATCAAATTTATATATTTTCTATAGAAAACGTTTTTTAAAACATACATAAAATATTGGGTGTATTTTATAGATATAAAATATCTTTAAAAGCAGGTATTTCTCTCTATCTAAAATATATTTGATGTATTTTATAGATATAAAACATATTCAAATTGATATTTTTCTCTCTATAAAATATTTCATTTATTTTCTATGTCCAAAAATCCATGTTTGAAATAAAAAAATCTCTATTTTTGGGGGGTTGAAGCTTCACAATGATGGGAAAAATAAACAAACGACCCCAAACCCCCCCCAAATATTAATAATAATTTTAAAAATTCGATAAATCTACTAAAAAAGAGATGAAACAAATTAAAAATACCCACCATTTGGTTGCAAGATCAACCAATTTCCAGCAGCAGGAGGGGAAAGAGCAGAAAAATCAGGATTTTCCCCCCAAATTGATCATTTGACTGGGTTGGATTTTGCCACCAAAATCCCCCAACGTGACTTTTATTTTGTTTTTATTATTTTTTACTCTATTTTATGATGGTTTTTTGACCTGGGGCCTCTCAGCGTTTGTTACATTCTTGGTAAATCAAAAGAAAAGCTTTAAATATTAAAAAAAAAATGACTAAAACTAATAAAAAAAAACAGATATAAAGAATAATTCAGGCAAGGCCTGAAAAAAAAAAAACCACCAACATTTTTTTATATCGATTTTTATCTCGAGTTTTAAAGGTTCGAAACGTTTAAACCAAAGCAGGAAAAAAAAAAAAGAAAGAAAGGGCTTTAAAATGTTCCAGATATTTTAAAAACAAAGGCCAAAATAACCTCCTTTCTCAGCACTTTAATGGCAAATTCCTTGCGAATGTACGAGGGACGACGGTTTGAAAATGCAAATAAAGACGTTTATTAACCGCGAGGTGCGGCCTGGTCTTTGTGCCACCAAAACTGGGGCTTTTCACCTCAAAATTCAACTGATTTTGACTCTAAACCCTTCCCGTCCCCTCCCCCCCCTTCCCCTCTTGGTGTTTGAAACCCCGAAAATCAAAGGTTTGAAGGGATTTGATTAAAATAAGTGATAATTTGGGGGTCTGAGGGGGGTGTCGGTGAAGGCCGAACTAGGCCCGGAGGCCCCAAAATGGCGGCGGGGCCTAAACGGGGGGGAGACACACACACAAAATACCCCCCCCCGGCTCTTGTTGCCCCCCCCGACCCCCAGGGGGTGTTTCTGCCCCTC